AAGAAGTGAATGAATGGAAGAAACCATCAGATGAGACCTGTGTGGGGGAAATGTAAGCACCTAGAGAAGAAAATGCAAAACTAATCAAAATACTGATGTTAGGAGAGTGGAAATAGGGAGACTTTTTCCTTCTTTGAAACTACATTTAATCCTGTCACACTGTTCAACATTTAAAAGTAAATATTTACTCTTTTTAAAATGCTTGGCTCAAGGAAGAAATACAAGTCCACACTGTAGAATTTCTTGAAAACAACAATAATGAAAACGTAGCATATCATAAAAAATTATAAATATATTTAGCCTTTGTGGAAATCCACTCCCAAAATAAACTGAAAGATAGAAATGGTGTAAGGCTATCTGTTGCAATAATTTTAAAGTGGCAAAAGGAGGGATAACCCAAATGTCTATTGATAAACAATGGTACATGTGCTCATTGGAGTGCTACACAGCCAGAGCAAAGAAATAAGGAGGCTTTCCCTGGACTGCTATGGGCTGACCCCCAGGACACCCTAGACCAGCCGTGCGCAAACTACGGCCCGCGGGCCGGATCCGGCCCGTTTGAAATGAATAAAACTAAAAAAAAAAAAAAAGACTGTACCCTTTTATGTAATGATGTTTACTTTGAATTTATATTAGTTCACACAAACACTCCATCCATGCTTTTGTTCCGGCCCTCCGGTCCAGTTTAAGAACCCATTGTGGCCCTCGAGTCAAAAAGTTTGCCCACCCCTACCCTAGACAGTGGGAAAAGCAAGGAACGGAGCAGCAAACACAGCAGCCACCTTGCAGCTGAGAGGAGGAACAAGATGGGGCAGAAGACAAGGACATATGTGAATTTGCTTAGAGTTATGTGTGTGTGTTTTATAAAGGTAAGAATAAACCAAAACCTATTGAAAATGGTTTATCAGACACTCCTAAAAAATTTACAGGGGCAGAAGAGGCAGGCAGGGAGATCAGAATGGAAGTCAGGTTTCTCTGAATATACTGAGTCTGTTTTACAGCTTTTCCTGTGGAATCACATAAAAACATTTTAACTAATTATAAGTCTAAATTAAATCAAAATGTAAATGCTAAAGCAATTCCTACAAATAAAAAAATGAAAACAAATGAGCCTAAATGCATATCAAGCTATCAGATTCACCACGAGAAGGGTTGATGCAAGTGACTTGAAAATGTGGGACTACTCACATGACTGTGTGTCTCCAGGGCAGATGGCCTGAGAACAAGTAAATCTTAATCTACAGCCAGTAATTCTACCATAGGCTTAGTAATAACACAAGTATTTTCCTTCTAGATACACACATACATACATGTTAATACCATTAGGAAGCAAGATTCGTACTGTGTAAAAAATAATATATGCACACACATATATAATCAAATAAGTAAAAACTCTATAAACCTAGAGTTTTTGCTTACATTTACATTTTGAACTGGAAATATCAATATAGCCTTAGGAGGAATTTTCATTTTTTAAAAAAATCAATTGCTCTGTCACTAGAAGCAATGACTAATCTCATAGCAATGAGCATCCCAGTATCCATACTCTGGCTTCCTATTATCATATCCCTCTTTTTTTTTGGGGGGGGGGGGGGTATAGTACTTTTATAAGAGTTTCACAAAACTAGAATTCTAACTATATATATAGTTAGAATTCTAGTTTTGTGAAACTAGAATTACTCCCTGCCCCCCCCCGCCCCCCCCGCCCCGCCCCATCTCCTGTCTTCCCTCTTAGGTTGGACAGTCTGTTCGATGCTTCTATGACTCTGGCTCTATTTTTGTTCATCAGTTTATGTTGTCCATTATATTCCACAAATGAGTGAGATCATGTGATATTTGTCTTTCTCTGACTGGCTTATTTCGCTTAGCATAATGCTCTCCAGGTCCATCCATGCTGTTGCAAATGGTAAGAATTCCTTCTTTTTTACAGCAGCGTAGTATTCTATTGGGCAGATGTACCACTGTTTTTTAATCCACTCACGTGCTGATGAGCACTTAGGCTGTTTCCAAATCTTAGCTTTTGTAAATTGTGCTGCTGTGAACATAGGGATGCATATATCCTTTCTGATTTCTTGGGATATATTCCTAGAAGTGGGATCACAGGGTCAAATGGGAGTTCCATTTTTAATTTTTTGAGGAAACTCCATACTGTTTTCCACAGAGGCTGCATCAGTCTGCATTCCCACCAGCAGTGCACGAGGGTTCCTTTTTCTCTACATCCTCTCCAGCACTTGTCGTTTGTTGATTTGTTAATGATAGTCATTCTGACAGGTGTGAGATAATACCCTATTGCCCTTTTGATTTGCATCTTCCAGATTATTAGTGACTTTGAGCATGCTTTCATATGTCTCTTGGCCTTCTGTATGTCCTCTTTTGAAAAGTGTCTATTTAGGTCCTTTGCCCATTTTCTGATAGGATTGTTTATCTTCCTTTTGTTAAGTTGTATGAGTTCCCTGTAAATTTTGGAGATTAAACCCTTATCAGAGATAATATTGGTAAATATGTTCTCCCATGCAGTGGGCTTTCTTGTCATTTTGTTGGTTTCCTTTTGCTGTGCAGAAGCTTTTTATTTTGATGTAAAATTTGTTTATTTTGTCCTAAGTTTCCATTGTCCTAGCAGCTATATCGGTAAAGATATTGCTATGACATATGTCTGATATTTTGCTGCCTATGGATTCCTCTAAGATTTTTATGGTTTCCTGTCTTATGTTTAAGTCCTTTATCCATTTTGAGTTTATTCTTGTGTATGGTGTAAGTTGGTGGTCTAGTTTCATTTTTTTTGCATGCATCTGTCCAATTTTCCCAACACCATTTACTGAAGAGACTGTCTTGACTCCATTGTATGCTCTTGCCTCCTTTGTCAAATATTAATTGAGCATAATGGCTTGAGTCGATTTCTGGGTTCTCTGTTCTGTTCCATTGGTCTGTATGTCTGTTCTTGTGCCAGTACCAGGCAGTTTTGAGAACAGTGACTTTGTAATATAGCTTGGTATCTGGTATTGTGACCCCTCCAACTTTGTTCTTCTTTCTCAGGATTGCTGTGGCTATTTGGGGTCTTTTTTTATTCCAGATGAATTTTTGGAGAGTTTATTCTAGGTCTGTGAAATATGCCGTTGGTATTTTAATGGTGATTGCATTGAATCTATAGATTGCTTTGGGTAGTATGGACATTTTAATTGTGTTGATTCTACTAATCCGTGAACACAGTATATTCTTCCATTTGTTTATGTCCTCCTCTATCTCTTTTTTCCAACATCTTATAGTTTTCTGAGTACAGGTCTTTTACCTCCTTAATTAAGTTTATTCCTAGGTATCTTAATTTTTTTGTTGCTATGGTAAATGGGATTTATCATTTCCCTCTTAAAGGAACCAGGGCATCTTGGAGAAATGGCCAGTTGCAGGTAAAAGTGAGCTATCCAAGTCTACCGGGTCACGTCAAGAAGATTCAGGGGCTAACTTACAGAGCTCCCCCTGATCAAACTTAGGATAATTTGTCTGGCTGGCATGGCTCAGTGGTTTAGTGTCAACCTATGAACCAGGAGGTCATGGTTCAATTCCCAGTCAGGGAGCATGCCTGGCTTGATCACCAGTGTGGGGCGTGCAGGAGGCAACCAATCAATGATTCTTTCTTATCATTGATGTTTCTATCTCTCTCCCCCTCTCCCTCTCTAAAATCAATGAAAACATATTATTTTTTTAAAAAGCTAGGATAATTTGGTCATCAAAAAGGATGGCTGCAATGGATGGAAACATCTAATATGCTAAAATTCACAGGTTCATAACAATACTCAAACAAATTTTTAAAACCTAATTGGTAACCTTTGTAGATTATTAGGACACCAACTAATTATTCTAGAAACTGATAAATAAAGGGGAAATAAAGCATTTATACTGTCTTCCCTGGACAAACTGATTTTCAGGGTTACCAAATAGCTGAGGGAGAAATTCTTTATAGAAGAAACCCAGCTATGAAATGAAGAAGAAATGATGGGATTTGAGCATCACAAGTTTACAGCCTCTAATGAAATCCTGGATGTGGCAATGATCACCCATGGCTGCTCCTGGTTGATGGGGATTTCATAATGAACAGGGAAGGCTGACAACACCTGCACCCAGCGACTACACAGCTCTCTGCTCCCTGACTTGATGCTGGAGGAAAACACAGCAGCATCCAGAACATATGCTCACTGTACGATAAAGAAGTCTGACAGAGCCTCTAAATTGCCTACAGTGTGGGAAATACTGAGAATGGAGGAACATCTCGAACAACACGATGGGGACAAGATCAGCCAGATCCCAAGTGCGGGAAATCTGACAGGACTAATGGCCCAGTTTCTTCAACAAACAAATAGCAGAGGGAAATAGGGAGGGAGACCTTTATAAATTAAAAGAGATTTAAAGACATGTCAACCAAATCCAAGTATGAACTTGTGTGTCGTCTGATTTGAACAGTCTATCTGCAAAACCAGATTTATGAGAAAACTGGGGAAATTTGAACAATGACTAGATAACAGATGATATTAAGAAACTACTGATAATTTTTACACTTGTGATAATGGCACTGTCATTATGTTTCTAAAGTGTCTATATTTCTCAGAGTGTAATACTAAAGCATTCATAGCTGAAATGATACAGTGTCTGGGAACTGCTTTTATCTGGGTTGGATTTATGTTGGTAAGCGAAATGAAAAAAGACTGGTCAAATGCTAATGATAGTGAAGCTGGGGAACAGTACAGGAGCATTCATTTTAATATTCTCTCTACTGATATGTGTGTTTGGAAATTTCCATAATAAAAAGTAAAAAAAATAAAAGAAGCATCTCATAATAATAATAACAGGTGTCGTCTACCTTCCTAGGTGATTAGAGGGACAGGGCACAAACAGATCTTTTGTGCCCAAATCACCTAACTCTAAGAAGCTGTTTTCTGAATGACGAAGATCAGTTAAGTAAGACTAAAGAGAATTTGCTATCGAGATCTTAAGGTTACAATTTTTCATACCTGATTGTTTCGATCGGTGAGGTACCGCACTACAATAGGTATGAGATATTCGGAGAACACCTTTGAAAAATTTGACCTGTTTTCTTGTAAAAAAATGGCAATAGGAGGAATCTGTTCCATCAGCTCAGTCCGCACTGTGGGCTCTGCAGCAATAAAAAACAACAAAGAAAAGAATTATATAAGACTACACCAAGCATCTTATTTAGTACATACTGATAGTTTCTAGCTTTTCTTACTAAAATACTTTATCAAAAAAATTAGACAAATGCAGTTTAAAGATCATTTCCCATTCAGAGTATTTATGCTACAGACAGGCTTAAAAAGCTAATAAGCTATATGGCAATATAAAAACATAAAAAGAAGAGAGAATGACAACTCTATTATAACAAGCCATATATAAATCGAGGAGGGTGCAAGAAGTCTGCATCCTGGGCCAGCGTCCAAAAGCCATTACAACTAATGGCATATATGCCAGACCTATGGGTTGTGCTTATTTAAATTCCAGCCAGAATGTATACATTATAAATAATTCTTTCATAAATGCACTCCCCCACAATCCACGCATCCCAATTATTTCTAAGGCAAAGCATTAAACAAAAGAGCAGCTTGAGCGCCAATATACCACATTAAATTTAACACAAATATATAATTGCTTCAGTGCTGTAAATGGTGACTCATTTATAAAGAGAATCCATTTAACGACTCAAAACATCCACTTGGGCCTTTTTAAAAACATTGTGTCATAGTCTTATGAATATTTTAAACTAATATGGGAACTATATGGAAGGCTTATTTTGCCATTTTCAGTTAAAATGATCAAAACCTAAAGCAAATCTAAGATTTCTAAAACTTTCTGAAGCTGTTCACCAGTCATTATAAATGGGGGGTTTAGTTGTCAGTACTGGTAAACCCACTACTCAGTCATCTGACTTATCTGTTCGAGGCGAGGGTTATATCTCAGTGTCTACCATACAGCAGTGTGCTTTTCTTCCACAATAGCAATCGTGGAGGTAGAAAGAGAAAGAAAAATCAAGATTAGTCTACAAAGATCAGAGGTGAGGGAGAGTAATGACTGGATTGTTGTAATCCTTCTTTTGATTGGCTATTTCTTAGCAACCAATAGTCTGGCAGAACTCGTGAAATACAAAAGGCCTAACTGCCAGGGCAAAGAGCATTCATAGCCGTTAGTCATTCTCATTTTCTGAAAATAAGGATCATCTAATGCCAAACAAGACACCCATTCTTCATGACAAAATCCATTCATGGGTAGACATTGCTTTAAATTTATTGATTAATAAACAGGGTTTTTTTTTATGTCAGCTATCATTGGTTATAAACAATTTCTTGGAAATGAGCAAGTAAAACGTAAAAGTATATACTCCTTGTACAAACCTGCATCTTCTGACAATCTGACCACAATTGCCATGACCGTTAAGAAGTCTTCTTCATCATTACCGAAGTCCCTGAAGATATCAAGTAGCCCTCTGGCAATAATCTGACTGTAGAGACGAGAAATGATACAACAGTTACATGGACAACACTGACTGCTAGGGTGCGGGCTACCGGCAGATCATACAACCAGAGAGCAAAGGAAAGTCTGTGACCTCCATCCGGAGGGGAGGAAGTGTCCAGGAACGTCCAAATATGATCATTCCGATGTGGGTCAATAGCCTACAGGGACGGGACCGTGTCTTCTAATCTGGCAGTCACTGGAGGTCCAAACTGTCCACTTGGGACAAGGGAAACCCTCTACTCCTTTTCTGACTGATTCTTCAGACCTAGACAGACTTGGGAGACAGGCCCCATGACATCGGAGGGGATTAAGTGACCAATAAATGCAGAAGGAAAAGCCCAAAGAGACATTGATGGCCACCTCAGTCTGAAATGCTCTCTACCCACTAGGTGCCAGCAGCATCCTCACCCCATGATGTGACAACCAAAAATGTCTGCAGGGCAGTGGAGCAAAATCACCGCTGGTTGAGAACCAACACATTAGAGGGCGCCGGGCAAAAGCTACACGGAAACTCTCTGCACTATCCTGCAGATCTTCTGAAAATCTGAAAATACTTCAAAATTAAGGTTAAATACATAACAAAACACAAAGACAAAAAAAAGCCACAATGAGGTAACACTACACCCATTACAAGAACTCAAATTGTGAGAGTACCTGGTGCTGGTACTAGATATAAAGATATAAAGCAACAGGAACACACTGACATCGTCAGAGAGAATGCAAAACAGCACATATGATCTGGAAAACAATTTGAGAGTTCCTCAAAAAGTCAAACATACATTTATTATTCAACCCAACAATTCTCTCCTGGGTATTTATTTACCCAATGAAATGAAAAGGTGCGTCCACACAAAAACTTGTACACAAATGTCCATATTAGCGTTTTTTTGTAATAGCCACACAATGGAAAGCTCCAATGCTTGTCAACAAGGGCTATCCACACAATGGAATATAACTCAGCAATAAAAAGGTATGAACTGCTGGTAACCAAAAGCACAAATAACAAATGCATTTTGCTAAGAAAAAGCAGCCATACAGAAAAGACTACATACCACATGATTTCATATATATGAAATTCTAAAAACCTTAGCATCCAGAAACAAGTCAGTGGTTGCCTGGGCCAATTGTGGTGAGGGAGGGAGGGGCTGACCACAAAGAGGGGAAAAAGAGGGTGATGGAAATGTTCAAACTTGACCACGGTGATGGCTGCATGACTGTGTACATTTACCCAAACTCGTCTCACTGGACGCTTTAAGTGGGTGAATTTTATTGCATGAAAAATATGCCTCAATAAAGCTGTTTTATATAAAGACATGGAGGAAGGGACATTCAGTGCAATCAGCAGTGGCTTACAGTGACCTGGAGGACTCGGTGAGCGAGAAGAGGGACTGGCAAATGGAAAGAGGCCCCTGCTTGCCTATCTCTGTCCTCTGGCTACCTGACAATCCAGGATCAACAAACATCACTTCTGGTTGTTCATCTGGAGAACTAGCTAAAGGTGAAAAGCCACCTTGATTTTTAGGAAAAGGCTAGAAATGTGGAATTCAAAGAGGCAGTCTTGGCCCACATACTACAAGGAAGAAATCCATCAACTCCAGCCTGTCCGTAGAGAGACTTATACCACCCCTGGGATGAAAGGTCGAGATCTGGCAGCCAGGAGGTTTGGGAAAGTCGAAACAGACACTATAAAGTCCCTGATTACATTTCACTGGACCACATTCATGTCAGCCTCCCCTGGGAAATCAAGCAACCAAGATCCCCAATCTGCTTCTAGGGCCATAGCACAGATAGACAGATCTGCATCCAGCCTCAAGTGGTCACAGGGGACCTGCCCTCTTAAGGAAGCAAGGAAAGAGTGAGGGAGAGCCCTGAACAGGGACAAATCTACCACAGTGACTACAGATGGGAGGGAGCTAAAGACACAAAGCAATTGTTGCTTTGGGCACCAAAGCTTTGGAAAATCTGGCTTCTTTATGTTGCCATGACCTGGAGAGGTCAGAGTAGAGGAGCAGAGTCCAGAAGCATCAGCCTCAATACTTCCCCTGTCAGCAATGCTAATCAGATGAGAAGAGAGGGACAACCTTACATGCCTCAGAAAAGTGTCATGAAGAGTAAATGAGATTATGCGTGGGAAGCTCATAGCATGGTACTAAGCACATGATAAGCCCTCGAGGGTGTCAGCCATCAGTATTACAATATAAGCAAAGAATTGCAATCAAAATGTCTATCAAAAGAAGGAAGCTTAAATGAATTATGATATATCTATGGTTGACATACTATACAACCATTTTATTTATTTTTATTATTATTTTAAATTCTCACCTGAGGACATGCATAGAGAGAGGAAGTGAGGGAGAGAAACATCGATGTGAGAGAATCAGTTGCCTCACACACATGCCCCGACTGGGGGATCAAGCCCACAATCCAGGCATGTGCTCTGACAGGGAATCGAACCAGCAACCTTTCAGTGCACAGGACGATGCTCAACCAACTGAGGCACTCCAACTGGGCTATACAACCATTTTTAAAGGTGCCGTGGATATGCACTGAGTAAAAGAGATGCCAGGATACAATAAATGAAAAGGCAAGGTAAGGATTTTACATATGGTGTAAGTCCATTTCTTAACACAAATTATATTTATGTACATAATATGTGCAAAACATGTACACAAAGACATATATACACATATATATACATATATACATATATATACACACTGAGTGACCAGATTATTATGACCACCTGACGTAGGCAAATTAGCTGTACACTGCATCGTATGGGATATGGAAGCCGAAGGCCTGTTCGAACACCTTTGCTGTCTGCAGTTACCAAGATAAAACGTCTCCAATTCGCACAGGAACACAAGGATTGAACAGTCGAGCATTGGAAAAAAGTCATGTGGTCCGATGAATCACGTTTCCAGTTGCATCATGCAGATGGCAGAGTGCGAATTTGGCGGAAACAGCATGAAATCATGCACCCCACATGCATGAGTACAACCCTTCATGCTGGTGGGGGCAGTGTTATGGTTTGGGGCATATTTTCTTGGCATGATATGGGCCCTTTAATTCATGTGGAACAACGTCTGAATAGCACAACATACCTAAGTATCGTTGCTGATCAGGTTCATCCTATCATGTTGATGGCGTATCCCAATGGAGATGGCTTCTTCCAACAAGACAATGTGCCATGCCACAGTGCTCGTATTGTGCAGGAGTGGTTTCAAGAACATGAGGGAGACTTTACCTTGCTTAGGTGGCCCCCACGATCACCAGATCTCAATCCAATTGAGCATTTGTGGGACGAAGTTAAAAGAGCCATCAGACAGCTGGTTCCACAGCCATCAAATCTCACAGAACTGGACAGTGCTATTCATCAGGCATGGTGTCAGATTCCTCGCATCACCTTTCAACATCTCGTGGAGTCAACGCCAAGAAGAATCACCGCAGTATTGAAGGCAAAAGGTGGCCCAAGGAAGTACTGATGGGGTGGTCATAATAATCTGTCCACTCAGTGTGTGTGTGTGTGTGTGTGTGTGTGTGTGTGTGTGTGTACCCCACGTTCAAAGGCTGTTAAATCGCGTTGTTTACCCATATCTTCAGAAAAAAATCACTTCTACTGTCGTGGTAAACAACCTGCTTCCCTATTTATAATGGTCTGGCCCTCTAGCAACTTCAGAGCGAAATTTGCCTATAAACGTCAGGTGGTCATAATAATCTGGCCACTCAGTGTATATATACACACACTCATTTAGAAAAAAATGTAAAAGAATACACACTGAACTGTTCCCAGTCATTACCTAAGACTAGTGAGGAGAGGGGACTCTCACTATTGAACACCTAAAATTGCAAAATGTTTCAACAAGTATTATTTTCATGGTTTTTTTTAAACTATAAAGAAAAAGGATGGCTTAACTTTACATGGCAATGTCCCCTGGAAATGTAACCGTGCAAGTAAGCCTTCCTGTCTTTGTCCCTTCTTCCCCTCACCCACTCATGCAGTTACATTCATGAGTTCAGCCCACCTGGCTCCAGACTCAGGGCAAGAAGCTTGGGGTACAGAGACAAGAAGGTTCCAGGCCCTGCCTGAAGGAGCTCACAGTCGTGGCCCATAAGTAGATCAGAACACCACGGGTGATGAACAGTGACAAGGTCCTTAAGACAGAGAAGAACATGGAGGGGAGCTGGAAAGACGAGACTGAGGATGAGCAGGAGTCGGGCTTCCAGAGAGACAAGGAAGGGTGAGGACATGAGGTCCAAATGTTGAACACCTCAGACAAGGACTTTAAGATAAGTGTGGTTATCCCCAACTGGTTTTGCTCAGTGGATAGAGCATCGGCCCATGGACTGAAGGGTCTGGGTTCGATTCCAGTCAGGGGCACATACCTCGGTTGCAGGCTCGTGTGGGAGACAACTAATCGATGTGTCTCCCTCACACCAATGTTTCTCTTTCTGTCTCTCTCTAAAAATCAATGGAAAAATATGCTCGGGTGAGGACTAACAACAAAGAAAAGGTAAGTGTGGTTAATATGCTGAAGGTCTACTGTTAGGCTTAGACATGCTTGGATAGTTAAGGAATACAGGAACTCTGTACTTTCTGCTCAATTTTTCTATAAACCTAAAATTGCTCACAAAATAAAGTCTATTAAAGAGAGAGAGAAAAAAGAAAGTGAAATGAAGACTTTTCCAGACAAACAAGCTGTGAGAATTCACTGGCAGCAGCCTTGTACTAATAAGAACTGTTAAAGAAAGTTCTGGAGGCAAAAAGATACTTGATGGAAATGGGCATTTTACAAAAAGAAATAAAAAGTATGAAAATGGTAAAAATAAAGGCAAAGATAAAAAATATTTTTTCTCATTTTAATTGCTTTAAAAGAGGGTTGACTATCCAAAGCAAATATAGGACAAAGTATTGTAGGGTTTATGACATGTGTAGAAGTAAAATGCAGGAAAACAACAGCAGAAAAGATGGAGAGAGGAAGTAAA